ATGGGTTCAAGATCTAACTCTAATGCACTGACTTCATTGGAACCCATTAGATATGGAGAGGTACCTTGCGTGGTCTAGACACAGACATATGGGGTGGTTCGGGAGGTGCCGAGGTCCTGCCTCAACAAGATGATGGGTCAAAATTATTAGAATTCCAATGGGAGTCTTTACCCACTCTAGGAGAAGATGGGAGATGGGGGCAGTGGAGGACCATGATGTTAAGAGAGAGGGAGAACTGGGGTTGCAAAGTAAAAAATAAATTAATTAATTAAAAATAAATATATAAAATATTAAGAAATAAATGCATTAAGAAACTCAAAAAATCAGGAGAAGAAGAATTTGGTGAGAGGTTGGGCTAGGGAGTGGAGGTGGGGTCATGCCAAGATGTGTTTCCTGTGATCCCTGTAGTCACCATGCTCTCTCTTCCAGACTCACACTGTAGTAAGTCAGAGGCAATGATGGCCATATTGTAATAAGGGAATGGAGTGGAATCCACCTTCCTCATATATAAAGACAAGGCTGACTCCCCACATGCAAATTCATCTTCTAGCTCTAAGTTAAATCCCCTCCTGGGCTGTGGGAGCTCACATCTCTCTTACAGGAGGCTGACTTCTGAGAAAAGGGGGTGTAGCCTAGAAGATGAGACTGTTGACCTGGTGACAGCCCTTCCTGGTGTGCCTGACCATTTCATACATGTGTCCATGAGGGGATGTGACAACATGTGATTGACGGAATTGACTCTTCCTGTCTGCAGGTGTCCTGTCCCAGATCCAGCTTCAGGAGTCAGGACCTGGCCTGGTGAAGCCCTCACAGTCGCTGTCCCTCACTTGCTCTGTCACTGGTTTCTCCATCTCCACCAATTATGCCTGGAACTGGATCAGGCAGTCCCCAGGGAACCGCTGGAGTGGATGGGGTACATAACTAGTCCTGGTGGCACCTACTACAACCCATCCCTCAAGAGCCGCATCTCCATCACCAGAGACACAGCCAAGAACCAGATCTTCCTGCAGCTGAACTCTGTGACCACTGAGGACACAGCCACATATTACTGTGCAAGAGACACAGTGAGGGGACTTCAGCATGAGCCCAGACAAAAACCTCCCTGCAGAGGAGCTCTGGGCCAGCAGGGGGCGCTCAGGCCTAAGGAAGCACAGAAACAGTAAGTCTTTAGAGCAGGGAAAGAAAAACGCATGGTTTCCTCTGCCTTTGCTTTCCACTTTTCCTCCATGCAGAGAGAAGGACAGGGGTCTTTTCTCTCTCTGATGTTGAAATGCTGTGTTTATGTGAAGTAACATTTGTTTGTGTCTCACTGTGATTCTCAGGACAGGTTGTACAGTAATATTTCTTGTTATTTTGAATGTGGACAAAGTCTTTACCAGCTGAACCATCTCTCTCTGTGTTTAGGAATATGTTTTGATGAAAACAACTTATTGGAACTCTGCTGATCTCACATGGCATTAGTTTTCACATAAAAATCTGATTCCACTTTGATTGCTCGCAAAGTCCACTCTCAGTAACATCTGTGTGTTACAGCACATCCTAGCCTGCTCAAACAAGCAGTTGAAGGGATGCCTAGGGAATGAGACATAGGGTGGGTGATAAGGGGGTCGATAGTGCAGAGTGGGCATGGAAGGACTGTGCAGCTTTGACTATGAACAGAGGAGAGTTGGTCATCTTCATTTTCACAGAGCAGGGTCAGGATGGTATGATCCTCCTCGTGTCCCAGTTGTGTGGGAGCAGGCAAATAGGTTGGGATCAAGAAAGTATCCCAGAAGGGAAATTAGGTGAGATCTCCTGGGTGAACTGGGGATGAAGGAGGGTGGTTAGAGAGAAGGGAGGGAGGATGAGGACATGAGGGAGCAGCGTGGTCAAGGAAGCCGGAAGGGATGCAGTAAAGAGCAAGGGAAGAGATATCTTAGTAGAGAGAGTCACTATGGGGTTAGGGAGAAACTGGTGCCAGAGTTCTTCCCAAGATTTCACCAGGGTTTCCTCAGCTAAGACTCCTAGCAATAGTGAAGAGGATGCCAGAAATTGCCTACCCCTGTAACCAGATTGCTGAATAACCCAACTCTCACCATAGAGCCTTCATCCAGTAATTGATGGAACCAGGCACAGAGATCCATAACCAAGAACCAGGCCAAGTTCTGGGAATCCAGCTGAAGAGAGGTAGGAGGGAAAATATGAGCAAAGAGGTCAAGATCATGATGGAGATATCCACAGAGACAGCTGAGCCAAGCTCATGGAAACCAATGAACTCCTGACCTACAACTGTAGAGACTCCAGGTGACAAAGCTAGGCCCTCTGTAAATGGGAGACAGTTGGGAAGCCTGAACTATCAGAGAGTCTCCTGGCAGTAGGACCATGATACCAACCTGGTATATGAACTAGCTCCTTGGAGGCCATTCCATATGGTGGGTGCCATGCTCAGTGGCAACAGGAGCACATTAGAATCATGATAGAATCCTGGTACATGAGCTGGCTTGTTGGAGCCCAGTCACCATGATAGGATTCCAAGCTGAGCCTTAATGCATTGTAGAAGGGCATGGCTCTGCCCCAAACCAATGTGTCAGAATTTGTTGATCCCCATGAGAGCCCTTACCCGTGAGGAGAGTGGACTGAGGATG